ATCTTATCAGTAGCTAGAAGCAAGAAAGCCGTGAAATACATCGTGAAATTTTGTCTTTTAAAGTTCGTTCGTCGTTTGACGTACTCGGATGACCAACTTTGATGTTTATTCAGTATAGTTTCAACGGATTTTAAAAATTATTGGCACTTTATGATTCAATTCCGTCACCATTGCCCTATAAGGTCGACAAATTTGCATTGCGTCACTGCTGCCGTGTAATGGCAACAGATGTTAATGCCATCCTAATACATTATCACTGTCATGACTGATACGCGCAATTGTATCAATTAGACTCTGCGACTATTACACACTGGTGATCTGTTCTATCAAGAATGTGTTTAATTTTTAATCGTATTTCAGGTTTTTGTTTCTAGACCGATAATTATATACGTATTTGAATAATTCATGGTACTGGACACCGAATACAGAAGTTGACAAGCAGTTGCCGACGCTCTTCGTTAGACCATAGTTTCATTAGGGGTAGGCTAAGTACAAATTTACAGATTTGTGCAGCTGGCTGGACAAATGTTGTAAAGTAATCGAAATCAATTGTTTACAGGCCAAATAGATAGCCAGTTTAATTTCACAACTTGCTGCAATAACTGCACAGTAATCGAGCGCTTATCTTTACTTTGTTGCTGCTAAATCAAAAATCAAATCATTAAAACCCATTGAAAAATGCTGATACCAGATTGAAACGGTGAAAAGGCACAGTGTAAGGAAAGAAAAATTAATTTCTCACTTTACCCCAGCAGCTGATTGCAACGCCCCCTTGCTTCTAGACGCTTAGGCGGACAATTTAAGCATGTCACGGCTCCATGGTACCTGCAGTGCATGACGCAGGACCGCATCTCGAACATGTGTTGAACGGAAGCATGTTCAAGAAAGAAACATTGCCACAATCCGTAAGAGAAAGAGTGACAGAAAAGAACCCAGAACTTCTGGGGAGCTATTGATACCGCCGCTGAAGACAATGCATTAAAAAACTCCCTAGAACATCAGGTTATATTTTGTCCGTCTTTTTCCTAGGGATCGTGGCAATGTTTTTTCTTGAAAATACTTTCGTACTTGAGCTTATATACCATGGAGCCGTGGTCTGATTAAACGGTCCCTGTAGGCGTCTAAAAGCAAGGGAGCAGTGCAATCAGCTGCTGGTGTAAAGTGAGAAATTGATTTTTCTTTCTTTACACTGTGCATTTTCTCCGTTTCAATCCGGTATCAATATTTTTAATGTGATAGCTTCAGCGGCAGTATCGATAGCTCCCCAAAATATTTTGGTTCGTTCTGTCACAAGTCGTTATAATACCATCACAGTCCGTTAAAATAATGCCTGTGAAATCAAAAAAGAAGCTGCTGTTTGAAAACATAGTTGAAGACAATTGCAGAGATGTCATTGAGATGATCAAGGTTTGCATTTGTACATTACGCAGCTATTTTTGCTTGATTGTTGTGTTTTGTTGCTTATTCATTTAATCAGTATTCTGCATTTAACACAGAACGAATTCGTAGCTCTCTACGGTCCAAGCTACAATGAACGCTCTGTGGAGGTAAACACTGACTTTGGAAAGACCTACTCGAGGCAAACCTACAGTCGCATAATAATGTCTCTATCGTAGATACAGTAAAATATGTGTAAAATTATAACAGTGACTGCCGTCCAGTGGGTGAGATCAAATTGAACTTAACGATCGTGCCGCGTACGATAATTAGCGAGGGTGTGCACACTGTTCGATTTATCTTAACGAATAAAACTTGATCACTCCCATAAACAACTTCTTCTTCATGATGAATAGCACCAACAGCTCAGAGAGGTAATGGAATTGTCCTTCACATCGCAAGATAATAAAGATAAGTGTTTGAACAATTCATGGTTCAGGGGCACCAAACACTACAGGTAGTACAACACTTTGCTGCCGACACATTTCGCTACCAAGACCATAACATCATCGTAGCATATGATGCTACGGTCTATATGGC